TGATGATGAATTTTCACTCCTCTGCTATGCGCCCTTTGTGAAATAAAGGACTGAAAACTAGGCAGAAAAGCTTTTTATGTTAAATTTGAGAATTCTTATAACAAAGTATACATTACGCAGACACTCGTAAAATATAAAATTGCCAAACAAATTTGAGGTACGTAGTATTAGTATATTTTGTGTAATTAATTCATCGGCAAATTCGAAAAACGCAGCAGAGCAGATAATTAAGCGTGGTACTCCACATCTCCGTCATTATAGATTCACTGTGCTTCCAAGAAAATTTTTACGGCAAAACAAATTGCAGATCTCTTCTTTACACTGATCAGGCTGCAATATATAAAATTTTGAATGAAATAAAACAGGTTGACCAGCCATGCTGTGTTCGATCTTACGTGGAATCATGCAGCTTACGCCACCTGCGTGGAGCGGACGAATCTATAGACGAAAAATGTCGGGGCCTGCAAAAATCGAACCCAATCGTTGTGCGTTGCAACCAAGTATTCTGCCGCCGAGCCGCCGTCCACGCCGGCTCAAGCGCTACATATCAGCTTCCTGCTACTGGTGTTGATAATATCCATGTCGCTGTTGGCATCGTTATGCAACAGTACACATTTGACTGTTTTTTAACATGTCTGCGTACACTTGTACATATCTTTAGCGAGACAAAAAATACAACACAGCTATCGTTCATTAACACCGATACTCAAGGCCACGTGTGACCATCTGAAGTTGTTTCGCAATCGGGGCTCTACGACTCGAAATGTGTATACACGCATGGTCGCAGCGCATACCACCCTCCTGTGCGCCAGTACGCTGCTCCGAGAGCCTCATATCATAGAGTAACATAGTAAACGTTTACTATGTTTCTCTATGGTCATATCACGTACATTATCCCAGAACAACCACGGATCGCATTACCTTGCGGAATTCAAAACGCAGTTTCAATTCTGTCATTAATGCTTCATCCCTCGGACCAGGGACATTACGCCATAGAGATTCACACTGTATGTCAGACAGCGACTCACGCACAAGGCGGGCCTTTAGAACTGGTTTAAGAGAATTTTATTTTCAGATATATCTTACATAGCTTGTGTGCAAACAGAGAGAGAGACAATGATGATCATGCGTATGTGCGTGCAAGCTGTACATACAGCGAAAATAACTTATTTGCGTATGCAGTGACGTACAATGCAAAAATTATACAACAAGAGCAAGACATTCATGAGCATCGGGTTGATTAAACTTATATAAACAGGAAGGCTATATGTACAAACAGGGGTTCACATCGGTTCAGAGGGGGGGGGGGGGGGTTGAAAAGTGGGTAATAATTTAGAGTACAAGGTACTCTACTGAACCCTGAAGACCATGTTGACGTTGACGTTGGTGTGTTTAGAAAAAATGTTTAACAATTATGAGTACTTGTTTAGAAAAAATTTATTGCCACAAACGTCAAAACACTCAACAAAAAATTTCCTTCTTAAGCATACTGTAATGATGATGACAAAACAGACGTCATTTACACGAACATGGCTATGAGATGACGTTAAAAGAACATGTACATTCGATGGTTCGGGGGGGGGGGGTAGAAAAAGGGGGTAACGATTTAGAGTACAAGGTACTTTACTATGGGAGAGCTTAAAGCCGTCCGGTGAAGGGGGGGGGGAGGGTTAGGGAAAGTGGGTAACGATTTAGAGTACTTGGTACTCTACTATGGGAGAGCTTAGAGCCGTCCCGTCCAGCAGGTCTTGAAGTTGCGAGTGATGCGATCGCTTTGATGGTAAAAGGTTTTGCTTAAACATCGACAAAAACAGTTTCAACGAAATGGTCAGCATCCAAGGTCATAAATGTGATGCTGCTTTTTTTTTTGTAAAACTTAAAAATGGAGACAAATTTTGTCTGCTACTGTGACATCCGTTCTTAGTGCGCACTAATGCCTTGGTCACAAAACGCAAACCTTTATTTCTAAGTATACGTAATATTTATTATTAGTGTGAAATAAGTTAAGTAACTGCTTGCACTTTTAAACCCCTGATGAGCGCAGCCTCTTAATTTCTCACAGAATCTGTCTGGATAATTTGGATCTGGAGAGGCTGTGTGGTAAAAAAACAAACAAAACTGATGAGCTAACAAACATTAATGCTAAGTGTATATATTTCTGTTCATTTTTTTTCATCGGAATAAGTTCTTGCAAAAAAAAAAGTGAGGCTTTTTTTTTCTTCCCATACATTGCGTTGACCACAGTTATTTCCTTTCTCCATGAAGAGCACACTACGAGCGTCTCTGTTTGCTTTGAGCACGTTTGCAGCATTTACTGTGCACGTTTTGTAATTTTTATACTGTCTGTAGTAGCACTGGTACTCGTATGGGCTGAATGTTTTTATAAGCAGATGTGGCCAAGTTCAGGGTAAAGAGACGGTTGCAACGAAAGTTCTAACGCCATCGACGTGAATGTTCCAACATTTTTTCTTCCTCCATGGTTCGAACCAGCAATAGAGAAGGCGCTGTTCGAACCGTCGGCCATGCGGAACCTGCGAACTTGAACGAGACCCTTTACTGCACGGTAATGTGATAAAGCAGAAAGTTCTATTGAGCTGTATTCTGCAGCTGCGATTCGCCCTTGCCGACACTGAGGAAAGTGGTGAACATACCAGTGCCGCCTTTTTGCATTCTGGCCACGAAAACATACCTGCAACGGAGTGTTTAGCGTTACGTCTAGACGATAACAATAAAGCCGTTAAAGCTTTGTCCAGACGTAGAAACAATACAAGTTAGAGTTACGTCCAGCGTGACAACAATACAAAACCGACCGGTAAACGCGTCGAAACCGATCGGCAGCATTGGCGTAGTCTGCTAACACAGATCGTGCAGGATGGTGAGATTGTACGTGGGTTCAAGCTCAACCAAATATTTTAATTTTATTTATTTATTTTTTGCACAAGTATTCTTCTAAACAGTGCAGCGTTAATGTAAACCGCGTTGCTACAGCATCGTACAGTTCTCCTGTAGCAAAATAGTGAATGTTAGCGACGAAAGCGCACCACGAGATTATCCCAGCATGGGGGCTATTGCGAGCTTTTCCTGTACAGACTGTGTATTAACTCTATGAGTCGTAGAGCTTCCCACAAAAAACTCTATGGCCTCAGTGACAATTCGTTTCGTGTTCTGACATGATTTTTTCACGTTTTTACCATTACACCCCTAATATATATATATATATATATATATATATATATATATATATATATATAACGAGCGGTCAGATGGATGTCTTTTTGTCGCTGAACAACAATCGTAATCTATATTAATCTATATTTCAAGTGTACGTTTCCTCCATCCACTGTCTGATGTGACGCGATCGCGCGGTGATCAATAAAAACGCTCAATATCAGTGCAAAATAAATGAGATGTTTCAAAATAATGCAAACTACATGATCAACCAAGAATTATTCACGATAATGTATATGAAATCACGATAAATTGTTCCAAAACCGCTGCTGTCACATGTAGCCTAATATCGCGCCTACAGGCTGCTAAAGTGGCAATGCGCTATAAGCAGGCTGCATAGGCCAACGTTTAGAGATACTTCCACCCACGGAGGAAGTCCTTCCTCTGTGCTTCCACAGAATACCTTTATAGATACATTGGCACGGACTGCGCCATCAAAATTAGGCGGATGATGTTTTCGGACGATGAGATATTTACATGTCGTGAATAATAATAATAATGATATAATAATAATAATAATAATAAACAATCTCTAAATTGCATTAAAAAAAACTGTTGGAAACTAGCGGCACAATGGCAGCACACATCCCTACTTTCACTTGAAAGTAAACATTCGGCAGCGCATTGTATGGTTACAGTGTAGTATGGTTATCCAGTGTTTCAATGAACAGTTGACCTAATGACAAGCAATGATATTTGCACGCTTTGTGACGCCGAAATTAGCACATTTCATACTGCACTTTAGGATCACAATGTCGTCCGCTGCTGTCGCAGCGGAGAAGCTAGCTTACGTTAATTACGACTCCGAAAGCAGCAGGCTTCGTTTGTCGTTTAAGTATGCTTCAGGGGACCTCGCAGAGCGTCAGTACACTCTAAATCGCAATTCATCGGAAGAGCTTCGTGTAGTACTTAGTAGGATAGCGCTCAACATTACCAACGTGGAAGAGGGAAAAAAGAAACGGAAAAAAAAGAAAGATGGCTCATCTAACGACGACGCTTCGAAAGTCGACTTGCGACCGGAGTTGTCAGTTTCTTTGGAACACGACGGTCTGCCCGTGTCCGGAGATGTGGCGAATGGTGATGTCTGGAAAGATGTTTCTGTATTGCAGGTGATGAAAGTTTTTCCACATAACTGTTTTGTTTTTCTAAGCTTGGTCGTTCGACTCAACCGCGTCGAACTTTCTATTAAATCTTATAAGTCTCTTTCTGGATACCTGGACCTGTTGGTCGACTGACGTTGTTACTACAACATAATTTCAAGTTTTAAACTGTTACTTGTTTCATTTGGTAAGTATACGGCGATATCTCGTGCTGTTAAACATATCGATGCACCGAAGGCGGAGTTTACGACCGTTCGAAACTGTTTCGTGCTGGTAGCGCTATCAGCTTTTATTTATTTAAGTATCATAAGGGCCCACTCAAGGCATTATATAGGTGGGCGGGGGGCACAATATTTACAAAGGATGAATAATTGTAGTCGGATACATATTTGTAGCACAGAAATTCATAAAATGTTGTAACAAGGCAAGCAATACAACAAAAGTAAGCAATACAACATGGTATAAAGCATAATGTTGATGTAAGCATGTTAATGAAAGTTGATAAGATAGCAACTATAAATTAAACAAAGAAAGTTCACTTATTGTAGCAATCCCGGAAGGTAATTAATTCAATCCTCTTATTGATAATGTTGTAGGTGAATATTCATATTTTTTTGGTTCAGGGCAAAGATAAAGTTGACTATTAAAGCATGGTTGGTGCGACTAATCATATGAGATGGCGATGAAGTATGTGTCTGCGTAAATGAGGTGTTAGTGTGATACAAGGTGTGAAAAAAAAAAACAGATAACCTGGAAAATTGCCTGTGCACAGCAAGCGATGGCACATTCAGCTCTGCTTTCAAAGATGAAACTCTGGTGTGGGAGTTAATTCCACCATATTCTTTCACCTTTCAGATTGGTGAGGAGCGGTACGTGATTGCGGTAAATGCACCCACAGTACGAAGTGTTCGCCCCCCAAAGTACTTCATGGTAGGCTTTCCTGCTTATGTGCACATTGAGCTGGAGAATTGCAGCCTGTGTGACTGGAAACTGGCCTGGTACATGAGTGTCATGAAGGGCGAAAAGCCACCTAGCCATGAAATGCGTAGAGTAAACAACAAGCTATTTGTGAACACGCACCAAAGTGCTTCATTCCTTACGCCAGTTGCTTCGGACATTGGACGTCATGTGCTTCTGATACTGACACCTTGCACCGGGCCGGGCATGCCAGTTGAAGTGGTTTCGACCACTATTGTTGAGGCTGGCCCTGGTTCATGTCCGTTTGAAGTGAGGCAGTATTTCACGCCTTTTTTCACTGCACCAGGAAGGTATGTTTTCAGACAACTTGATCTAATTAAGTTTTTTTGAAATTTGAATGATTAATTTCTGTTACATAAGTTATTGTACTTATTAGTGAAAAAAATTGTTAACATTAATTCAAAGCACATGAAATGCACACAACACTGTTAACATTGATTCGAACCAACTAAAATGCACACTAGTCTTGTTCATGGCCCGTCAGAGGCTGCCAGTAACATGCACATTTTAAAATGAAGTACCGCATTATGATTCAGTTTGACGTGAACCATGAAACATTTTTGTAGTACAAAATAAGCTTTGAGATGTGTGTCATTTTTATTAAATTACACAAAACCCAAGATGGCTTGCAAATGTGCTAGCGACATTTCATATCTTGTTTCTAGCTAGAGCTTTAAAAAAGTGTGCAGCAAGTGCTGTACAGTTTCGTCACATTTTCTGTGAGTGTACATGTGCTTATTTTGACAGATCAAGCACAGGACAGGAGTTATGACGACAGTCTGAGTATACAGCATCCCAAATTCTAGAATAATTCTGTGCCAGCATTGACAACATTGAATATTGGTGTCTTAATATGAAGAGAAGCGTTTGGTGCACATCAGTACACACTAATGCATCACGCACACCAACAAGTGTTGTCTGCTAAGGTGTTCACTTTCAGGAATTAATGTGCCCTAATAATTTGCTTCGCCATTGTTAGCTAAATATGCCTAATCTATTCAATAAATTACTTTTATTTTGATTAATGTATGCATTTTATTTCTTAGTTCTATAGGGCATATGTGGATGCAGTAGTTCAAATTCAGAAATGGTAACATTTTTCTTGAAGTAAAAAGGGTGGTAGATGGTGCTCGGGTATGGGAGTGTACGTTACATGCTTGCACTTACTGTCACCAATCTGGCCACTTTGAGCTGTTAAAGGGCATCCCCATGCCATATGGTCAATGCTCACATGATATTATTTGAGATTTGGGAGGCTGTGTAATAAGTGGAGAGGGGGCAAAGCCGATGTCACAAAAATGATGCGTGGTTTTGGACAATGGCTTGTACACTAAAGAGCACTGACAAAAAACTTGTACCGTGTCTTTTTTTTTATTACAATAGATTGCTTATGACCCACTTATCATGACTGGAAGCCTTGTTAGCACGAATGCATGAGAGTTACTTATTTAGAGACGTTTTTAGAGTGCCCAGTCTCAGTCTTAGTTTCACTTTCAAAGAGCACCAAGTGAGGCAAGAGCAGTTACACGGGCAAGGTAAACACAGCTGGCCTACGTGACCATGCAATACTGTGACATGGGTGCCATGTGCAAGAGCACGCGCGAGTGGGCGCCGCACTGACATCCAGCACAGCCAGTACACGTGAAGCTGCAGGCAGGGAGGAGAAAATCAAACATAGCACAAGCATAAGGCATGTACCGGCAAGCAGCCAACACAAACTTTTGACGTAGGTTTGTTGACATTGTCCCTGCATTGATGTCGGCGTCACAAGGGACTCCGCATCTCGCTCAGTCGTGCGGCATGCATTTTAAAATTGATTTTAAATATGTTCTATACTATATTTGCCCTTCATATCTTATAGATGTTGAGTATGTCTCCAGATAAATCCATCTCGCTCATTACCTCGCCTTTTGAATTTTGTGTCAGTGCTCCTTTAAACCAACACTTGCTGCTCCCGATGAGTCCAGCCAAGGCACTGTACATGTGTGTTCTGGGAAGCGCATGCGCTCCTATGTTCCAGCATGCCAGTGCACTGTCTATTCTTATGCAGGGCGTGTAAATTAAATTTGCAGATACAAAATTTCAGCATTTCCTGCAGAAACTATCAGCAAGACACTGTTTGGTGTAGTAACAGATGCCGACACTGTCATAACACAGCCCAGATGCTGTTGTTGGAACACCAAGATCAAGTGATCATTGCACAAAGGCAGAAATCTAGCCCCTGCCATTAGAAATCAAGGAGTCGGTATATTAAATACTAAACAATTGTGCTGGTCCCTGAAAGCCCAACCTGCATTGCTTTGAACTAAGCTGCCTCTAAACAGCACTGTAACTTTTTACTCTCATTATTGCCACAGGTTCCGATGTATTTCTTATAACCTCCTTGCTGATGTGTATGCTGACACCAAGTTCACAAGGTCTGAACTATTTCCATATTGTGCAGCGCATGCCCTCGACTTAAGCTACAGGAAGCAGCTGCTTGTAAAAGAGCTACTGGGTAAGCTGCTCTTTATTTTGATGGACACTCAGATTACAGCATATTGGTGAATTTTGTTTCACTATTGCATAAATTAATTTAAATAATGCACTAAGTTAACCTGTATTCATTCACTTGAATCCAACTGTATCGAGTGTTTGGGTTTTATTTCACTGCTGCATTGCATTCTACAGTTGCAAATAAATTCATGCCTCTGCAGGTTACAAGGGAGACCTCGTGTGCCTTCAAGAAGTTGATCGCAGAGTTTTTCAACAAGACCTAGAGCCTATACTTGGGGATCATGGCTTTGGTGGCTACTACACAAAAAAGTGTAGCCGTATGGCAGAAGGGGTGGCTTGTTTCTACAGGTTATCAAAATTCAGGTACTGTAATCAAATAGGTTTAGTGCTCTCTTTATTTGGTTATATTACATGCAGACAAGTTAAATTCTGTAATGGGTGCGCTTAACAGAACAAATTAGTTTAGCATACCTTTTACATTTTCTCACTTGCGGTGGACAAGGGTGCTTATCTTTTTGTAATGATTGCTTATTTGTCACAGCCTGTGTATAGTGGTTTTAAAAGTCCTTTTTTTGCTGTTTGAAATCTTTTGAAAAATGGCTTGATAATGTCACGCCATGTGATTATCACTTTGAAACTTATGTGAGTTCCAATCAACTTGCTCATTGATAATGTGCAACTAGTTGCTAAATGCAAAGCAAGTCATTTGGAAAAAGAACTTAGAGGACGCAATCTGGAAACAACTATTTTGAAAAGGCAGTGTGCTACTGAAACACTCTTTAGTTTCATCTTGTATAACATGTGTATGAATGACTGATCAGTTGTTAATGTGTGCAGGTGTGTAATAACTTTTTTTCATTTGCACCTTTCTTTGGTTGGTTGGTAACAACTTCATTGGTAGTCCGGCATAGCTTTCGCTGACCGGGCCTTAGGTCTCCCGCGCGGGGACGTCAAGACCTTGCCTGACCGCCGCCTCGCGGGCCTGCTGGATGGCCCAGAGTTGGTCGCCGAGGCTATGGCTGCACAGCGCAGTTACCCACGGCGGCGGAAGGGTTCTGGATTTAGCACCTTGCAGATTTTTGGCACAATTCCAGAGCATGTCATTTAATGTGGCAACCTCAAAATGGCAAATGGAGCCTGGTTTGAAGCTCTGCTTCCTGATAGAATTTTCTACTGTGCAGGACTTTGGCCGCTTGTTGCGAGATCCATCCTTTGGCAAAGTTTCTTACCACATGTCTCTAGTCACAGAGGACAGTAGTGCATGACAGATCGGAGAGCGCGAGTGGCACCGCTACTTCCTCCGCTTCTTGTGCGTGCTCACATAGAATACTTGCCGATATTCTCGTTTCGCCTTTCCAATCAGGGACTATGATTGTAAATCGCGAGCGGTCTGCGTATTTAGCGGCATCAACCAACCATGCTCTCACTTCCTCGGTGTAAGTGCACAAGAGAGCTCTTGCCCTGACGACTCTTCTGCCCGGGTTGTGTTCCGGGTAAACGTTCCGTGGAGTTGGGTCAACCCTTATCGTTTGTCGGATCGCATCTGGCACAGCAACTTTCTGGCTTTGTTCGGTGTAATAACAGATGCCGAGACTTTCCATGATCTGGCGTCCCGCTGTCGTGGCCGATAGTCTTTCCAGTTGTGAAGTACGCTGCGCCTCGGCTATTTCGCTTAGAGTGTTGTGAAGTCCAAGTTAAAGCAGCAGGTGCGTGCTGGTGGACTCGGGTAGACCCAGTGCCAACGTGTACACTCTGCGGAGGAGGACATTGATCTTGGCTTCTTCTGCCTTGCACCAGTTGTGAAATGCCGCAACGTCTACAGTGTGACACATGAGACGAAAGAGTGTATAAGTCGTATGAGACTATCTTCTCTCATTCCGCTACTTCTGCTAGTGACCTCTTTGAGAACTCTCATGGCCTTAGTAGTCTTGTGTGCTTTCGTTTAGTGAACGTTTTGCCATTAGCTCCGTTTGCCTAGATGATCATGCCGAGGACCCTTATTCTCCTTACTATCCGGATCGTTGCTCCGACACTCGTGCGTAGCCTGATCTCTTCGTATTCTCGTCTGGTCCTCGTCTGGTCCTCGACGCCATTCCTCTATTCTGGAGTGGTCTACCCCTCTGTGTGCGGCGGTAGAGCAGGAGTTCGGACTATTTTGGCAAGCATCGTAGTCCCGTTCCCTCGAGATATTCCTTTACATTGTCGATTGCTAGTTGTAGCACCGTTTCGATGTGGCCATCACTGCCTCGGTGCACCCAGATAGTAATGTCATCGGTGTAGATTGAGTACCGGACACCTTCAATTGCTTTCAGTTTTTCAGCGAGCCCAATCATGACTATGTTACAGAGTATGGGCGAGATTACCGATCCTTGCGGGGTGCCGGTGCTTCCCAACATTGGGTCTTCTAGCTGAAGGTCTCCTGCCACGAAAATGGCTCCCTTGTCCGTCAAGAAATCTTTTACGTAGTTGTACACACTGTTACGTTTGGCCCGGCTGTTCGTCTGGACAGAAGCCATTGTGCGTAAGCTGGTCTGCTAGGTGGCTTTCAACCCCATTGGTGCCCAGTCGGCTAGACGCCGTCCTGTAGAGGTTCCAGGTAGTGGTCGGGTCTCAATGAAAGCTTCGCGAAACAACCCTTTTGTTGAAAGGGTTCAAACAGCATGGGACGGTGCCACTGTGGAAGTTCTCATAAAGTCAACCTCTCGACTCGGCTGTAGGCGCCGACACGAAATCATCACAAAAGCATCGTTACTCCGGAAGCGTGGGAAGACGTCGAAGAAGCCGTTCTCAGGGATCGAGCGTTTGGACTTCCATGTTCAAGATAGTTCTGGAAACCTGTAGCTGAAAGCAGCCATCGACCGCTGCTGACAGTCGTGTCAGCGGTCATCTCCCCGGAGGAGCTCACTTTCCCTCTCCAGACACTACCTCCTTGCCCTGCGGTGCATTCAAGGCGCGGGCCGGGTGCATCATTGTGTGGTGCGCTCATGCTATCATTGGACCTTTTCGCCCAGCTGAGTGGTGCACTATCTGCAACCTTTCTGGTGGGTAGACCAAAGAGACTTTGTCACCTGATTTGTGGCAAGAGTGGTCACCGCCTCCTTCGGACCTCTGTGTAAGGAGACAGCAGGCTATAAAAGCCGATGACATTTTGTAAATAAGAGTGGAGTCATGAGCTGAGTCTTTATACATAGCTGACTCTGTGTACAGTTCTATCTTTCAACTATCATGTAAATAAACTTTCGTTTTTTCTCTCTTAATGCGTCCCTTCACTGGCGAAGATTAGTTATGCGGACAACGGTGGGGAGCCAGCTACCTAAGGATACTTGCCGTACCTGCTATCGACCTGTAGCGGTAGGATGCCATCATGAACCTCACACCCTTTACAACTGGTGGCAGCGGTGGGATGCCATCATCAACTTCCTACCTTTAACAGCACGTAGATCGAGGTTTTGCCGAGATAATTGATGCAGTATCGCCGAGTGCGCGATTTTATTTAACACGCTCTTGAGATCGAGGCCAAGAATTGCTCTGGTCCCTTTTGTGTTGCCATCGAGTATGTGGTGTTTCAACTGTAGCACTGCATCTTGTGTGGATAGCTGTGGGCGGACTCCGATGATCGATGGTGGATATGCCCCTTTTTGCTCTAGATAGGCTTGCCAGTGGCCTATCCATGTGACTAATTAAGTTTAAAGTACAAAATGTTTGGTTCACAATTAGCTCCACTTAGCTTGAACAAATGGCCTCGAATTGGGGTCACAGGGACAGAAGAGAATAACGCAAGTCATTAGGCAAAGCATTCTAACAGGCACTACTTCAACCAGAAATCTCTTACTACTCAGCCAACTGAGCCATGCAGTTGGCTGGCCCTCTAACAAGCTGCTGGACTGGATGGTGCCATTTTTTTTGTCTCATCTAGCTACAGACGGTGCAGATGTTCTTGCTTGACTTCGATATTTGTCTTAGCAATCACTAAAAAGAGAATCAATGCATGAAAACAACATAATAAGTTTGAATGCTGGAAAATACAGTTCTGACACACAGGCTACTGCTATGCCTGCCCTAATGTTCAACTGGTTGTTTGCAGTTGCATTTGCATTCACAACTCATAAGAAACGCTTAGATGTTCTTGGACTGTCCTTTATAGTGGAGAATTGTATTTTACCAGTAGGCATTACTTTGCAGGTGGTGTCCTGTGAATCCCCATGGTTGCACGATGCCCAAGTTTCTACACGTGTTCCACAATGGTGCAACGTGAATCCTAGAAAGAACAGGAAGAATTATTTTCTGTGGACAAATAAATTGGTGTGATAAACCTAAGGCATAAAAATGATGGCTGCCAATAGAGTCGGTGGACACATTCGCTGTATCAGTTTTTTCAGAATCAATAAAGACTTACCTTGAGTGCATTTTAGTGACTGGCAACCAGGGCTATTACACTTTGAAAAGACAAATATATTCTCAAAAGATAACACAAATTTGTGTGTTATGACAACTGTGGCAATATCCTGCATTCGAATGTGAAAGTCTGACAAATCCTGTACCATTTCACATATTGTCACAACGTAAAAGATATTGTCTGTACATTCTTTATGCTACTCTTGTTCTTTTTAATAGGCATAAACTAACAATGGGTGAGGCCTCTGCCTTGCAGTGGGCATAGTTACACTGATGGCACCTTTATTCAGTACAATACAGTGCAAGTAAAAAGTTTATATAATACAGAAAGAGGTCCCAAAGTAAAAACTGTCAGGGAGACCTCCTGTGAATTCATGTATAAAATTATAGAACAAAGATTGGCAACTAAGGAAAAAACAGCAAGCGAATACTTTCACTGATGATGACAATAAAACAAAATTTTATATTCAAGTACCCTTCAGAAGTTGTAGCACTCTTGGCAATCCTGGCCGATGCAAGACTGTTTTTATTTTAGCAGGAGCACACAAAAGTAGGCTTGAAGTTATATGTGCCACACTCAATGACAGCAGTATTGATGCTATGTACAAGCAGGCCTGACAGACTACACTCAACCAAACTACGTTTAAAGGAGCGCTGACACATAGACGGCACAGAATATCCTTAAAAACCATGCAAATTACTTCTGGAGGTGGTCACCAAGAGGCCAGCTATCTGCACCATATTTCCAGAGAAGGCAGCCATATCGCTGGCTCTCACTATCTCTTTGATCGCCACTACTATCAATGCCAAGTGGTTGAGCTGTCGATGGCAGTTGCGTGATGGCACGCATTCTATCAGCAATGCTGCCAGGTGAGACACCCAAACTGCGAGGGATCATATCTGTGAAGTACGTGGGAGTACAAGACTATGCAGCCAAATGTAATACTAATACAGAAAAATACTAATGC